TTTGTGAATTATTTGATGTTTTTGTTTGTTGGTATATTTAAGGTTTGTTTAATGTAAAAAATAAGGATATTACTTAATGGTGAATAAAATAGTTAAAGGTTAAAAAACTAATGAAATATCAAAAATGAATTATTCTAATGAAATAATTTTCATAAAATTTGAAAATGGTAACATTATGATATTTACATCTCACGGTCGGCTTTTAACATAGAATATTTCTTTTATTGAAAAACACATGAAAACTGTGCATAAACAGAATACATTATGTTGCGGAACAAAATATTATGCTACTACTTTAAATACGTTTTTAACACAACAAAACATATTTATTTCATAAAGGCATTCCTATTCAAATTTATGGATGCTCAAATAGGTAAAACAAAGAAAACACAATGTCATAACTTAGATTCCTAAAGACTTATTGTGGAGAAGGGATGCATGGACAAAGGCTATAAAAAGATTGGAACAAGAAAAGTAAAGCCGTGGCAACGACACAAATAATTCTTTGTATTCATTTTATGTTTTATAATGTGACCAATTGTTTTGCTTCATGATTTTTTTAATGCTTCATAACATAATAAGTAACTGATGGGCCTAATAATTTCTTCATTTCACACAGTAAATTAATTGTTAGCAAAAATTGAAGTTTAGCCTTTATTTTTTTAACAGGCTTTTCTGCAGAAATCGAACTATTTTAAATGTCTAGGTAATGCATTTCCTGTATAATTTAGATAGATGTTACACAAATATATGTATTTAAGCCAGTCTGTTGTTTTCATTTTTTCTGCATTCTGATATTTTTATTTAATATTGGTAGTTTTTAATTATAGTTTTGAAACTGAGTTTATGCCTGAGGTTAAAAATAAATTAAAGATGATTTAAAATAAATCAATGACAATTTAGGAAAATTTGATTTGATCATTTTTTTTCTTTATCAGGTAAGCATTGTAAGGTATGTTCTTTGTACACTGTCTATCGCTTGCCAAAACTTGTAAGTTTCTCGTTATAGAACTGGCTGCACATGTCCAAACACTAGTACATAATTATAATAATGATGATGATGATGACTTTATTTAAAGAGGCAACATAATTTGACACATTCAGGATATCTTTTCAGTTTCTATCAAAATGTACATATAGTATACAGTTTCAATCAAATGATTTATGTAAAGATACATATTGTTTATCTGGTACATGTATTAAAAAGATTTTTCATATATTCAGGGAGAAGAGTGTTTAAGGTCAGTTAAATACTTAAATGGCCTTTTTATAACTTACTCTCAGAGAATTTTTTAAATACAGTTTAATTCGGAAAATAATTTATCAGTGGGCCCATTGAATGCCAGTATCTGTAGCTTACCAGCCAAGATTTTTATTGTCCAATAATAATGGACCAGAAGTGTTTTGTCTGCAGAAAAGGATAGTTTATCAAAGTAAAAAACTAAATTTACAGACATGAAATATTAAGAGTAAAACCCAAAGACATGCCATGGTCATTTTTGAGCATGTGTAGACTCTTTTCCATGAGTTTAGGCTATTAGCAGACAGCTTTCTGCCTCCAGAGATAACCTGTGGTCAGTAATGATATGCAGCGTTCTATTTTTAGTAATTTTGAAAGGGGTCTATATAGAAAAAAATTATAGGCCAGTAAGTATTCTACTCACCATGTCCAAATTATATGAAAGGGTTATCCACGACCAACTCTCGGGTTACTTTGAGGAAATTTTTCACCCTTATCTGACAGCCTTCCGTAAATCATATGGCTGTCAGACTACGCTACTAAGGCTAGTGGAAGACTGGAAAAAGGCCCTTGATGAAATCATGTTCATCGGAGCAATACTAATGGATTTATCAAAGGCCTTTGACTGTCTTCCACATGATTTAATTATCCTTCTTAAGGCTTATGGTCTGTCTGATAACGTTTGTAAACTTATGAGAGCGGAAACAAAGGGTTAAACTAGGGGATTATACCAGCCAGTGGGATAATATTATTAAGGGTGGCCCTCAAGGATCAATATTAGGGCCCCTGGTCTTCAACATTTTTATTAATGATATATTTTACGTCATAGAAAAAGCCACCCTTTATAATTATGCTGATGATAACACTTTGTCCTTCTGGCATAAAAATGCTACAGTTGTCAAATCTACCCTTGAGGATGAAAGTAATATCCTCGATCATAAATTGGTTTAAATCTAATCAAATGCAGGCAAACCCTGAAAAGTTTCAAGCTATCTCAGTGGGGGTCAAGTCACATACTGAAATTAAGTCATTTGATATAAGCGGCAGCACTATCCCATGTGATGAACAGGTCAAATTACTAGGAGTAGATATTGACTATCAATTAAATTTTGATGCCCAGGTATCAGCCATTTGCCAAAAAGCTGCAAAACAGTTAAATGTCCTGCACAGATTAAGTAAATTCCTCTCTGTACCTACCAGGCTTATCATATTTAAATCTCAATTACTGTCCCATAGCGTGGCACTTCTGTAGTAAAGCCAACACAGACAAACTTGAAAAACTCCAGTACAGGGCCTTACGCATTGTTTTCAATGATTTTACATCATCATATGAAAGTCTCCTTAATAAGGTTAAATTACCCACACTCCATTTAAGCAGGTTAAAAACAATTGCAATCGAGACTTTCAAGTGCTTACACAATATATCACCAAAATATATCCAAAACCTGGCCAAATTTAAGACCTCTGTTTACAATTGCAGGTATGATCATATTCTAAAAGTGCCTACAGTTCGAACCACCAGGTATGGACAGAAGTCCTTTCGTTTTGAGGCAACAGCCTCCCCAGTGACATCAGAAGAGAAGAAAACTTCAAAGAATTTGGGAGGCTGGTTGGCACCTGGACAGGCCCAAAATGTAAGTGTTCAATGTGTCGCTTGTAGCCTTTTGTTAAACACATGTGTGTCTAACATGTGTTTGAATGTGATTAACATGTTTTATATGTGCTTCTATGTATAGTATTTAGATGTTGCAAAGTTATACCTATAAATGTTTAATGTTAATTTTTATTTGCATTATGTGATAGTCCTTGTAATTTCCTTGTTTTTTATGCTCCCCGAAAAATTTCGGGGGAGCATATAGTCGGCGCCTTGTCCGTCTGTCCGTCTGTCCGTCCGTCCGTCTGTCCGTCTGTCCGTCCGTTGTCTTGTCCGGAGCATAACTTGAAAACCCTTGGAGATAATTTGTAGAAACTTCATACAGTGGTAGAGGGCATCGAGGGGGAGTGCAGTGTCAAAGAACCATAACTCTATTTTGCCTGGTTTTTGAATTATCTCCCCTTATAGAAAAATCTTGTCCGGGGCATAACTCTAAAACTATAAGAGATATCAACATGAAACTTTGTAGGTGAATAGATCTCAATGGGTAGATGTGCAGTGCATAAGAACAATAACTCTTTTCATCCTAATTTTGGAGTTATTGCCCTTTGTTAATTTTAATACTTTGAACTTTGTCCGGAACATAACTTGAAAACCCTTGGAGATAATTTGTTGAAACTCCATACAGTGGTAGAGGGCATTGAGGGGGGGGGGGTGCAGTGTCAAAGAACCATAACTCTATTTTGCCTGGTTTTTGAATTATCTCCCCTTATAGAAAAATCTTGTCCGGGGCATAACTCTAAAACTATTAGAGATATCAACATGAAACTTTGTAGGTGAATAGATCTCAATGCGTAGATGTGCAGTGCATAAGAACAATAACTCTTTTTGTCCTAATTTTGGAGTTATTGCCCTTTGTTTATTTAATACATTTGAACTTGAACTTTGTCCGGAACATAACTTGAAAACCCTTGGAGATAATTTGTTGAAACTTCATACAGTGGTAGAGGGCATCAAGGGGGAGTGCAGTGTCAAAGAACCATAACTCTATTTGCCTGGTTTTTGAATTATCTCCCCTTATAGAAAAATCTTGTCCGGGGCATAACTCTAAAACTATAAGAGATATCAACATGAAACATTGTAGGTAGATAGATCTCATTGAGTAGAGGTGCAGTGCAAAAGAACCATAACTCTGTTAAGCCTTATTTTTGAATAATCTCCCCTTTTAGAAAAATCTTATCCAGGACATAGTTGTAAAACTATAAGAGATATCAACATGAAACTTTGTAGGTAGATAAATCTCAATGGGTAGATGTGCAGTGCACAAGAATCATAACTCTACCTTGCCTAATTCTGGAGTAATTGCCCTTTGTTTATTTTTACTTTTTGAATTGTCCAGGACATAACTCGGAAATCATAAGAGATATCATCAAGAAACTTTGTAGGTTGATAGATCACATTGATTAAAGTGCAGTGCAAAGAACTGTAACTCTGCCTTGCCTAATTTTAGAATCATTGCACTTTGAACTTTTTCCACGGACATAACTCTGAAACTACAAGAGGTGTACTTTCCTGTGTCCAAAACCTATTCGGGGAGCATCACCCGGCTCAAACCGGGCTCTTGTATATATATGTCTTTTTTTATATTATATTATATGTATTATATTTCTTTTGCAGGTATGTACATAGGTGTATATGTATATCTTATTTTTTTGCATTCTTTTTCTTGTAACTTTTGTAGTTTATAACTTATTTTAAATTTTTATTTTCTTAATTTCATGTTCTTAGATGTGCTTATAAATGCTTATTTCTATAGGCCTACATGTCTGTCTTTAGCTAATATATAACTCTTTTACAGGAATGTACATTATTTATATTATATCTGTTATTTGTTTTATCTTGCTTGTAATTTATGTAACTTTTAAGCATGCTATGGTGCTATAATATCTTAACTCCATGTATTTAGATGTGCTTATGCTTATAATTTTTAGTTGCTTTAATATCTTAATTCCATGTACTTAAATTTTATGTGCTTACAGTATGCTTATATTTTTTTATAGCTGCTTTACTTTTGTTTAGTTCATATACTATTGTTTGTCGGAAAATAGCTCATGAGCTAATGTTTCCTGTTTATATGTATCCGACGTAAAATAAATTTTCTTGTATCTTGTATCAAGAAAATACCACAGAGCTTGCAGCCCTTTGATTATTACCCCACCATATTTTGAGACAGTCCCCGCGATTGTAAAAATAGTAACAGCAAGCGTCTGGATGAATTCAATAAACCTGACCAGTGGCATTTGCAAATTTTTCGAGCCCACATGTAAGTGTACAATTAGAAAAGTTTGCATTGATATATGTTGTAAAAATGTGATGTGGATTCTATCTGTGTGTTGACTTTATTAAAAAAAAATCGATAAAAACAGACAAAACAACAATACTGTACACGTAAACGTATCGCACGTAAACTCAATCGTAGCATCCATCAGTGATGGCATCACTTCCGTTAGTCTGTAAGTGAGCAGAGTTCGCTGTATGGGTGTCATAGCAGCTCAGTATTAGCTGCATTTGTTAACCATTTTCGTCTGTAAATACACATACATTTAAAGTAGAGCTGTTTTATTCTATTAACTAGTTGAATTCCTATTCAAGTTCAATTGTTATTTACTGTTGTAAGTTTTACGTTCAACTAAGTTTAAAGGAAGAGCTAGCGACAGCCGTAAGCTATCCAAAGTTCAGCTTAGTGATATGTACGACCAGACAGGACACACTGCACAGCACTTTTCAAAATAATATGAAAGTCAAAAATGCATATGTTATTTTATGGTTTTAACCAGGAAAGAGCAATTGTCTTCGTATGTTTACTCTTTAGATATTAATCGCCATGTTGGCCAAAGTGAAGAAATTTGCTAAGAAAAAAAGAGCGTTTGGTTGCAGTTGAACAACATTAATTGAAATAGTTAACAAAATTGTTATAATAATCCTTATTAGTTTCAATCATTTAAAAATGAAAAGAAAAAGCACCGAAAATGTAATTGTTGTTGGGCTTTGGTAATTGCATCAATTACTGACAGTAGAAGTTTGTCCATTAGTAAGGAAAGTTTGCATGTTCCGTGAAAGGCATGAATTCTTAAATTCTAATGTCAGTTCTTCAATAAGAATTCCATTGACACCAACTTTTTCAAAAGAAAATCATCGAAAAATTTTGTCATAAAATTGCCTTAATTAGTGACATAAACAGATGATATATTACTGACCACTACTAATATCAGATCCTGGTGGAATAGTCTAGATGTATCACTTGTGCATTAGTACAATGTTAAACAATTCTAGAACAATTTCAAAAGTATTGCCGGACAGATCAACCATATAAAAAAGTTAGTATCAAGGCCTATGGTGTTGCCTTCAGCTTACCCATCTGTTCACAGTATAAAAACTGGTACGCTGATTCTTATATGTGAGAAAGCTAGCTTGAGGAATGCTGTTGATTCTACTCAAATGCATGTGTATGCTTGAAACAATGCACAGAGAGGCACCTAATGTCTTCCTCCGCCAGTAAAGCTTCAAAGTCCGACCTTATAATTCTGTGTTGGTTTAATGTACAACCCAACAATTAAACAAAAAAAAAACCCAATAGATTTTCCATATTTTGTTATAAATTTTGTTATTTCTCGTAATATTTACAGATAAATCAGGATATAACAGAAAAACTTCAGAAATGGCGAAACAAAGAGTAAAATATTCCAAGCTTGATACTGATGCAGAAAATGTTGATGGTGAGTTTTGAACAGTATTTTCGGGTTTTCAGTAACACTTTTACAGTTAAAACTTCAAAACAGTTGCATCAGGTTAACTTATCTATCATGAAGGGTTGCGCTTTGTGAAGTTATACATGTAACTGATAAAGTTGTAAAAAGCAAATAAAAAAAAAATGTAAAAGTCTGTTTGTACTGAGGGAATTAGCATTGAAAAAAAACCCATATTTGCAGTGTTTCAGGTTAACAATTGGTTTGCTTTTCATATGAAAAGTCTGTATGCAGTTTAAGGGATTTTTGTTTCAAATTATTTGGTTTGAGTAGCCAACAGTTTAGTGTCTGGGTCATTATGGGTAGTAAAAGCTATTAACTTTGATTTTCAGGATTCTAAGGACTAAACAATATTGATTGAATAACCAGCCAAACATTTTTAGAACATAAATAAAATTTATAATGTTCATTTTGTACTCGGATACTTTGAAAAAACCATAATTCTTGTAAAATTGCTTTCCTTTTCTATTTACATGTAGGATATTTTGATATTAGGTTTTCACTCTTAACAGCAAATGCAATTATATATCATGTATAGGTTTTGTTGATACAGGCTGGAGGCCAGAATTAAAAAAAATCTGTTGTCATTGGCTGGTATGAAAAAAGCTTATTATGTCCTAGTTTTAAACATTCTAGTTAGTTCTGATAACATGAGGAAATATGGACATGACCCAAGTAAGGCTTCAATCCACAATGCCAGGATTAAGAGGGAGGCCCCTGGAGATTCAACAACAAGGCCACCTTATTCTTTCTTATATCCCTCACAACTTGTACATATAAAAATGTTTCAGATTTAGAGACTGTGTCACTCATGTATGACGTATCTAGTGACGATGATGAGGTAGAGTTGTATAAGCATGCTAATGGTACCAGGTCACCAACATTCACTGCAGAGGAGGGTGTTGAAGCCATCGGGTTCGGTTTCTTCCAGGTGCGACTGTATATTATATGTGGCCTGTTTACAGTAAGTTCCATTCTTACTCAAATTTAATTATAATAGTGTTACAATTACAGTCACAATGCAGAAGCTATGAAAGTAAAAGTAATCAAAGTAAAATTGCCTTTGATATTTCATTGTATTTATAAAAATGTGTTGTGTAATTTAGCTGCTTATCTGACCATCAAATTAATACATTTTAACTGTTGCCAGGTGATCAAGGTCAGAATTACTTAATTTTAGCATGCTGGTTGAACTGTATCATATTGGGTATCTAGTCAGCTAGCCATTTTGAAGATAGAGGATTTTATTAAGGTTCTTGATTGCAAAAATACATGCTTATTATATTTACTGAGGAACTTTGACCATAGGTTTAACTATTTTTCACAAACAATTCAGAAGTGTATTTTAATTCAGCAACACGTATACTTTTATCATTATTTCTATTTCAGGCAGCTGATTCTCTCGAGATGATGTTGTTAGCTGTCCTGTCTCCTGTGTTACGCTGTGAGTGGCAGCTGGAACAATTTCATGTTGCATTTATAACCACTGTAAGCATAATGCTCTTGTCGTCTAATTTGTTTTATACTCATTTGTCATTGAGATTAATTGTTTAGATAGGGAACAGCATGTTGCAAAATGATGATTACTTTTGAATTTTTTATATGATCTGTTACAAGGCTGTTTAACAACGTGCTAAATGTATTCACGAAAGTTTGTCTTATTGTATACTTGCATATTGTGACAGTGAAGTCATGTCAATTCAAAGAATGCAAGTTTCTATTTTAAAGTGCAATGTTTTTAAAAATTTCCAAAAATTTAAGCCAATATTTTTATTATGCCTCCGGACATATAGTTAGATGTCCATCTGTCTGTCCAATGGCTTCATAATTTACACACTAATTTATTATTAAGTTCATAATCTGGGCAAGTTACATAACTATAGTTTCCAGTCTTTGGCAGTTATTTTCCTTTTTATGACTTTGAAAATAAGGCCTATTCTGCAGAGATTGATTTATCATAAATTTCCTCAATTACTTCATTTATTTAATGATATCTTCCATATTTGGTAGATGGTTACTAGGGTCAAGGTCATTAGTGTTAAAAATATTTTTTTGTTGCTCAAATGGCCATTATTTTTAAATTGATGTCTTTCATGTTAAATATGGTCATGCCTAGGGATGTCCTCTTCCTTTGGGTTTAGATATGGGCATTTTTGGCCAAAAAAATAGATTTTTACACTTTTACAGGTGTAACCTTTTTCTATCAACAGATGTCTCTTTTATATTTGGTACTAGCTTAAATTGAGAAGTCTTCTACCTTTTGATGGATTTGGGGGCCAGTTGGGTCAAGGTCACCAGTGCAAAAATAGATTTTTACACTTTTGCCCTGTATTGACAGATGTCTTTCCTATTTGGTAGGAAGATAACTTGCAAGGTATTCTTCCTTTGGATTGACATACGTGTCAGTGAGTCAAGGTCAGGGGTACCAATATTAGATTTCTTCACATTTGTGTATACAACCTTAATTTATTAAACCCCTACCGGTTTAACTGGAGGGGACTTTAGGTTTAGCCTCCGTCCGTCTGTCCTTCTGTCTGTCTGTCAGTCTGTCACTCCCTCAGTCTGTCCGTCCACAAAACTGGATCCCGCGATAACGCAAAAAGAACTGAAAATATTTTTACGAAACTTGGTATATGGATAGATGGCAGTATGGAGATTATGCATGTCTTTTTCTTTTCTTCCTATGTTGAAAATTCTGGTTGCTATGGCAACAAATAGTCTGAAAATATGGCAAATTTAACACATAAACTTGATCCAGTGATAACTCTAAAAGTATTGAAAATATTTTTATGAAACTTAAAATATGAGTAGATGGCAGTCCGGAGATTACGCACGTCTTTTCCTTTTCTTCCTATGTTGAAAGTTCTGGTTGCTATGGCAACACATAGACTGAAAATATGGCAAATTTTACACATAAACTGAATCCAGTGATAACTCAAAAAGTACTGGAAATATTTTTATGAAACTTGACATAAGGGTAGATGGCAGTCTTGAGATTATGCATGTCTTATCTGTATATTTGATAAATTCTTATTGGTAAGTTGAATATTTTTCAGCTCATCAAATAGCAATGACATACCAACTTATATTTTTCACAATAACAAAATGTCATGACTGTCTAGTTGTATAACTGGCTTTATATTTTTTTGACAATTTTTTTGTCCATAACTAAATTGTTACTGACAACAATCTGGTGAAATGGCATTTGCATTTATCAAACGATTTTCTTGTTTAAATGTCAATGTTTGGCATTCAGTCACACATTACATCTGTGGTACAATCCAGGCATCTACACACATGCCTGAAATAATTTAATTTAATTGTAAAATTTAAAAGCTGACATTATGATCATAAAATGTTGTTTTCGATATAGCAGGATAAACTCTAATAAATTTATTATATTTGTGAATATTAACCAATAGTAAGTAAGTAAGTAAGTAAGTAAAGGCTTTATTTATCGAGGCTACACATTTGGTTTCCCAATCTTCCATGTGGGCCTCTAATAAAAACATAATTTACAATATAAATTATACAACTACAATATTACAAAAATAATTGCAACAACATTATGTTACAATGTACATTGAAATTGTCAGAACAAGAAATACATGTTAAATATTTACAGTCCATTCAAAGCATAATACATGTCAAAGAAGTACATATCAAATTAAAAGAAGTCGGAAATACTTTTAAGGTGGTACATCAAATGATTGGATTCTAATTTTGTTATAAAATGATTAATTTAATGATGAGAAATGCCAGGATAGATATGAAGCTTGAAATTCCTGAACTGTTTTAGATTTCCTTATGTTAAGAGGGATATTATTCCATAATTTAGGGCCAGAGTATACTAGGGATTTTCTGAAAAATTCTTTCTTAGGTCGTGGAACAGCTAGGTCTGAACTATTTGTAGACCTTAAGTTGCGCTCATGTTTTTGGTGAACAAATTGGAATTTACTTTGCATGTATTGTGGATATGGTATGTCATTGATAGATTTAAACATTATGATTGCTTTTTTGTATTTCATTCTTTCATCAAATCTCATCCAATTTAGTTCTTTAAACAAATCACTAGAGGGTGCATCGTAACTTTTATCTAGAATTATTCTTGCTGCTCTTTTTTGAAATTTTATGATATCATTGATCAGATCATTGCTGCAATTGCCCCAGATAGTACAGCAATAATCTAGGTGTGGTAAGATGTATGAGTTAAAAAATAGTTTTCTTGCATGTAAGTCTAGGTATTGCTTGATTCTGAGAAGTAGGTATAACTGAGAGTTGCATTTTTTAAGTATCATTTCTATTTGGATTTTCCATTTTAGTTTACTATCAACAAAAACACCTAGTAACTTTTCGGTTTCAGAAAATTGGATCATTTGATCTTGAAGGTGTAAAGGTGGTAAATGAAGCTGTGTATTATTTGATGTAAGGTGCATTGCCTTTGTTTTCAGTGTATTTAACACAATTGCATTTTGTATACACCAATTGTTTACATGTTTGAGGTTAGTTTGAAGTTTATTATGTAGTTCTTGTGGTGAATGTCCTGATGCTGTAAGTGTGGTGTCATCTGCAAACATGTCTATTTCTGAGGTCTCTAAATGAAGTGGAAGATCATTGATGTATATAATGAAAAGCAGGGGCCCAAGGACAGATCCTTGGGGAACACCTGATATAACCTCTGCAGATTCTGAGAGTTTACCTGATATACTGACTTTCTGTGTTCTGTTTGCAAGATAAGATGAAAACCATTTAATTGTATGAGAAGAACAATGGTAATAATGCAGTTTCTGAATAAGAATTTTATGGTTTACAAGGTCAAATGCTTTGGTTAGGTCAAGAAAAATTGTGCCAACTAGTTCTCCATCATTAATTGCATTTATCCAATTGTCAACTATGTTTGTTAATGCTGTTTCACAAGAGTGCTTGGTCCTGAATCCTGACTGGGTCATATGAATAAACTTATGAGTTTCTAGAAATTGTTTTAGATGGTCAGATACATACTTTTCAAATATTTTAGAAATGAGTGGAAGTACAGATATTGGTCGGTAATTATTTTTATCAGAATTTTGTCCTTTTTTATAAATGGGTGTAACTTTTGATTGTTTTAATTTGGTAGGAAACTTTCTTGTTTGAATACTTAAATTGATAATAGTAGATAAAGGTCTATATATTACAGAAGATGCAGTTTTTAGAAATCTAGCACTGATTCCATCGAGCCCTGTGACCTTTTCAACATCAAGTGAGTCTAATGTTTTTTTAACATAATCCGGTTCAATTGGTGGTATCTCAAAATCTGGAATATCTAAGTTAAATTTACCTTCTAACATTTCTTTTAATATAGATTCATTTGCTTTATTCAGTGCTGAAATATTTCCTGATTTTTTAAAGATGTTTGAAAAGAAAGTATTGAATATTTCTGCTGTTTCTTTTGGGTCAGAGATTGGATTTCCATTGTCATCATTTATATAGTTTGTTTGGAAGTTGTCAGTTTTGCCAGATAGTACTTTTAGGTTCTTCCATAACTTTTTAGGATTTTTATTCTGTGAATTTATTTCTTGATTAAAGAAGTCTTTTTTTGATTGATGGGATAGTATTTTAACTTGTGATCTCCAGTATTTGAATTCTTCTGTTTTCTTTTTCTTTTTTGCATAATCTCTCATATGAATAGCATTGGCTATTTCATCTGTGAACCATTCATTCTGGTTTTTGTGTTTGACCCGTTTTTGTCTATATGGTGCATGTGAATCAAGAACTTTTAAAAATAATTCATAAAATGTGTCAAGAGCATCATCTGGTTCAGTAAAAACATCAATCAATGTCCATGGTTGATTACTTAGATCAGCTAAAAAATGTTCTGCATTAAATTGCTTTAAATTTCTATAATTGATAGTAAGATGTAATGGGCCTTTTTTTATTTTTGACTTAGTTTTACGGGTAAAAACAATGGGGGAATGGTCACTTATCGAAAGAATTGGGACCTTAATATTACATATATTTTGATTTGTGTAGAGATGGTCAATGATAGTTGATGATGTTTGCGTGACTCTAGTAGGTTGTGTTATCAGTTGATTTAAATTGAATGTACTGATTGTATTATTCCATTTTGAATTAACTGAAATAGAGTTAATAAAATTGTAGTTGAAGTCACCAAAGAGAATAATTTCTTTGTTTTCAACGTATAAGGTTTCTAATATTTTTTCAATTTCTTCAATCCATGAATTAAGTGATGAAGGGGGCCTATAAATATATCCTACAATAAAAGGTTTTTGTTTGTCAAGCTTCATTTCTATCCATATTGCTTCAATATCACTTGAATTAAGGTCTGTTCTACTCTCACAATGTAATTTTGATTTTACATATAACACTATTCCTCCTCCATTTGACTGTCTGTCATGCCTGAAAAGTTGATAATTTTTTAAATTTATTTCATTGTTTGAGAAGGCATCACTGAGAAAGGTTTCTTGTAATCCAAGAATGTCAATATCCGGGAGTTTATCAACTAGAAACTGTATTTCACTGAATTTTGGATATAAATAATGTATATTGAGATGCATAAAGTTAAGTCCATTTTTGTCAAATTTTAAGTCCTGCAGTTTTAAGTCTTGATGTGATGAGTCCAGATTGTTATTACTTATTTTAAGAGGAAATTTATTTTCTTGACTATTTTCATTTTCTAGACGAGTATGTAAAGATGTAGAATTATTAAGAGCTTCGAAATGGAGTTTGTCACCGATTCCACATTGTACAGTTAGTATGGTGCATGATGCACTGGTGTCCATGGATGTGGCCTCTGCATCCACACAGGCATCCTTCTGTTGAAATTGTGTTGGGGAATCCTGTTGTGACCCTGATACTGCTGTCTCCTCTGATGTTGGTTTCTGTTGTTCCAATAAGATTGATGTGGTGGTATTCTGTGACGGTTGTCCCTGGGAAAATTTCGAGCTGACTGTGCTGGAGAACCTCTGATGTTTAGGGTAGATTTAATGGCTGCCATAATTTGCCCTCCGAGCACAGCACCACCAGATTTGTTAAGATGGACTTCATCATAGAACAGCCTTTCATTGATGTTTTCATCCGTTGTAAATGATTGTGTATTGTCCACAAATGTGTAACCGTTTGTTTCACATAGTCCCTTAATTTCATAGTTTACTGTTTTAATGACTTGTAAAGAGAGTTTGTCTTTTCTTTTTGGTAAAATGGATGAAAGGATGAATTTTGCTTTCTTGTTGATTGAATAAAGTGTCGCTATAAGGTCTGTAAGTTCTTGTATAATTGTTGTAGGGCTGTCAGCATTAGAGATATTGTTTATTCCTGCATGTATAACAAATACATCAGAGTCCTTTAAATTTGTCGTCTTTTCTAGGGATCCAATATTGTTTTTAATATCACAAAGTTTTGCACCTGACTTTGAGCGAATCTGAACATTAGTATTTCTGTCCATCATTTTTTTTGAACTTAGTACTTTGGTAACTGAGTCACCAAGTATAAATATATTATGCTTGTCTTCAGATTCTTGTTTAGATATTTCACTGCTTTGGTTTTGATTTCTTTGAGTTTCACAGCAGGTTTCTTGTTTTTGGTCATCTTTCTTTTCATCAAAGTGACTAAGGCCAGGACTTGATATGGATGATGTTTGATGTTGTTTATTTTTGTTATTTCTTATTTCAGCCTGAAGGAAGTAGATGTCTGTACTAGACGGCATATTTTCTGTCCTTTTCAAAACCTTGTCCAGAGTTGTTGAAAAATTTGAAAGTTTTTCTTTTATTTCTGACACATCATTTTGCAGGGCATATGTATTTTCATTTTCGGTTTGTTGTGATGATAACTTTCCTCTGAGGATTTTATTTTCTTGTGTCAATGTTTTATTTGCTTGTTTGAGGGCTTGTGTTTCTTCTTGAAGTACCAGTAATTGACCAGTTAATTCACTGTTCTCAGCTTTAGCCTTTTCTGTGCCTTTAATGATTAATTGTTTGTTGAGAGTCTGGAGCTTTTCGTTTTCTGATTTTAGTTTTTTGTTTATCTCTAGGCATTCCGTGTACTTATTTGTATCTTTGTCATCACTTGTACACTGCACAGCTACATCACATTTTATAATGTTGAGCATCAGGTTATCAGTTTCATCATTTGCTTGCTTACTTGAAAAACATAATTGTGAATGTGTATCTTGGTTGGTTTCAACATCTTCACTTTGCTTTAAAGACATAATAGATTGCTCTGAACTCTGTTCAGAGAGTACTTTAGAATCAGCTGTTGTGAAAGTGTGTTCATGGCTGATCTGTTTTGGCACTGTTTGCTCAGAGTCAGTTGAAATATCAATTTCCTCTAACACAAACTTTGGTCTAGTTTCTTCATCATTTTTTGTCCTCATAAAATTAATAGGCTGATTAGTTTTTGTTTGTCCCATTCTATGAAGTTTTTGTTTGGGTTTCTTACCAGTTTCTTGAATTACAGAATACTGTCTATGAAATTCTTCATAATCTACTTTAAATCCACCTTTATTTGCAGATTTTTCAGCTTTTTTTTAATTCTTTGCCAAGCTTTACAAAACCACTTTTTATAGGTGGCCCAAATATTGTCTTTGATACAGAGCGTAGGATGCTTGAAGATTTTGGCTTCTTTAGCGCTGATGGAGTGGAGGACATAATTGGAGATGTTGAGACGTTGAATAAGTGCTGCTTTAAGCCTGTATCGTTGGGTGTTGATTTGGTTGGCAACTGTTGTCCGGATTGATTGTGCTGACTGATATTGCATTGAAGCTGTTTCATGTCTTGTCTGATCTTCTCAAGGAATGTATCTAGCCAGATTTTGCACCCAGTTCCCTGGATCAACATTGTCATAGTATTGTGATATATTGTGATAACAACTTTCTTGTCTAGTATGGTTAAAGTTGTTGTAAGTCCTGTATTGTCCTTTGTTGGCACTAATTGGTACATGGATTTAAGAATTTGTTGCATTTTTGAATGTGTTTTTTCTTCAAAAAAGGTAAAACGGATATTGTCACTTGTTGGGCTTACATATATATCATACTGATTGTTCATTGTAAAGTTGCCAGATAAGTCATTGTAAGAAAATCCTTCAAAATCCTCTGTATCTATTGATGAATGATTGAAAGCCATTTTTACAAATTTTTGTAAGCACTTAAGTCTATTAAATAACTGAAGTTGTTTTAGCACAATGTGTTTATCAATTAGTCTGAGATCTCAGGTGTAATAAACATTAATCCTGTATAATATATATCCAAGATATAGAAATAATAATCCTTTTCAAGTTTTTATAAAGAAATCCTATTTATTGTTCTGTAATCCCTTTTGGTATATATATAATAGATTTACTAAAGTAACAATGTTATATTATAGGTTGTATTTATTGGAATGTGTATCATGGCTCCAATATGGGGATTTATAGGAGATAGATACGGCAGGCAAAAGGTAAGTTTTTATGTTATGTAAAGTAAAGGCTTTATTTATCGAGGCTACACATTTGGTTTCCCAATCTTCCATGTGGGCCTCTATGAAACATAATTTACAATATATACAACTACAATATTACAAAAATAATTGCAACAACATTGTGTTACAATGTACATTGAAATTGTCAGAACAAGAAATACATCTTAAATAATTATATACAGTCCATTAATAGCATAATACATGTCAAAGAAGTACATATCAAATGAAATACGTTTTAGGTGGAACATCAAATGATTAGATTCTAATTTTGTTATAAAATGATTAATTTAATGATGAGAAATGCCAGGATAGATATGAAGCTTGAAATTCCTGAACTGTTTTAGATTTTCTTATGTTAAGAGGGATATTATTCCATAATTTAGGGCCAGAGTATACTAGGGATTTTCTAAAAAATTCTTTCTTAGGTCGTGGAACAGCTAGGTCTGAACTATTTGTAGATCTTAAGTTGCGCTCATGTTTTTGGTAAACAAATTGGAATTTACTTTGCATGTATTGTGGATATGGTATGTCATTGATAGATTTAAACATTATGATTGCTTTTTTGTAAATCATTCTGTCATCAAATCTCATCCAATTTAGTTCTTTAAACAAATCACTGGAGGGTGCGTCGTAACTTTTATCTAGAATTATTCTTGCTGCTCTTTTTTGAAATTTTATGATTTCATTGATCAGATCATTGCTGCAATTGCCCCAGATAGTACAGCAATAATCTAAGTGTGGTAAGATGTATGAGTTAAAGAATAGTTTTCTTGCATGTAAGTCTAGGTATTGCTTGATTCTGAGAAGTAGGTATAACTGAGAGTTGCATTTTTTAAGTATCATTTCTATTTGGATCTTCCATTTTAGTTTACTATCAACAAAAACACCTAGTAACTTTTCGGTTTCAGAAAATTGGATCATTTGATCTTGAAGGTGTAAAGGTGGTAAATGAAGTTGTGTATTATTTGATGTAAGGTGCATTGCCTTTGTTTTCTGTGTATTTAACACCATTGCATTTTGTATGCACCATTTGTTTACATGTTCGAGGTTAGTTTGAAGTTTATTATGTAGTTCTTGTGGTGAATGTCCTGATGCTGTAAGTGTGGTGTCATCTGCAAACATGTCTATTTCTGAGGTCTTTAAATGAAGTGGGAGATCATTGATGTATATAATGAAAAGCAAATGTTGAAAATTTGTGTACTACTAATTTCTTCATGTTAACAAAACATTGGAAAAATAAAGCATGTAGTTTTATAGGCAGCTTTTGAATATATGCATTGAATCCCAGACAGGTGTGTGGTATGTGACATTCAATGAAATATTGAAGCAACACATCAGTTTTAAGTAATATTCATTAATGATTCTAATACTGAATGAAAAGTAAAAGAAAATATAATGTGTAAAACCGATAAACTCGTTTTTACCCCCTCCCCCCAGCCCCCGCCAGTGCAAAACCACTTAAGCTCATCATTTTTATCCACCCGCCCACTTTTAAAAAAAAAAAATGAAAGAAGGCATATAGTTTTTGCAGTGTCCAGCTGTCAAATTGTATATATGTCTGCAGGCACTCGGGTGAGCGTGTGGGATGAATTTCTGTGTTCATTTCTTACAGACTGTACTTGCACTGCGAAAAGAGCTAACTTAAAAAGCTCGAAATAATTTCTAGAAATACAATAAGACAGTTGTTAACATTTCTTGTTATCAATATAGCTAGACATAATATTTATCACCTGTACTTACGTACTTTGACAGTATTATGATTCTGATATTCTTGAAAATCTACTATGACTGATGACAAATTCATGGCTGATGACAAATTCACAAATCTAACTCATGTAACGCATGGTAAATTATTTTATATACATTTCAGACATTATACATGGTAGCATTATGGATTGGTTATTTTGGACTGCTGACCTCATTCAGTCCGTCCTACACCTGGATTCTAATTTTACGAGGCCTAGTGGGAGGTGGAATGGCTGGATCTCCTCAATCGTATGTTACAATTTACATATTGTATAACTACGAGCATTAATTATTGGTAAACTGCACTGAAAGTTTGTCCCGACTTTATCTTTTCGGGAAAGGTTGAAACTCTTACAAAAAATTAAATCTTTATCAGAACATATTATGCTAGCAAGGCAAATATTGTTGTTTTTAAATGTGTACCTAAGATATACCATATGAATAATGATTTAAGTTTATGAGACATTTTAAGACTAAAGACCTATGTTATTGATACAGAGAGAAGAAGATACTTATGTCCCTTTGACTGCCAAGTTTGAGAAACTGGTCTGGCTTACCCATTTTTGTGACAGTTTTAACTAAAGACATCTTTCATTCAGTGATCCTCCTTCACACCTGTGTGAATAATTTGTCTTTGTTTGTGGAAGAAAATGTTTATACTGATGATTGATTTTTGAAACACTTGTTTGGTAACTGATTTCCAGAATGTCTGAAGAAAAGAAAAATGATGCTAAAACCAGATCAAATAAACCTGCAATAATGATATGGTGTTTTTTTACAGGTTTACATTGCTCACAGAATACTTACCATCCAAATATAGGGCCAAGCTATTAAATGTTGGTTCAGTAAGTATACCACATGTTCTTACACATAACATTTGAAATCTCTGACTGAACTTCTCTAGCTGTCATTTTGAATCATTACCACAGAGATCTGCCAAGAATTTGAAAGTACTGGGCCCAGGGCCCACTTGGTCTGAAAATGATGGGCCATTTTTACCAAAGTATGGGCCTTGGGAAAATAAGTAAACATTGACCAAAATAACTGTTAAAAAGTTTGTAGATAATTGAATTTCCCCCGTAATAAAACTCAAATCATATTTTATGACAAGTGGTTCACTTATAATTCAGTACTTTACCAATAATTAAAAATTATGCCTACATGGTAACTTTCTAACTAATATTAATTGCAGGCAAAAATGAAAATATTTTTTAAATGGCTGCTCAAAAATTTGATATGCAAATTTATTCACATAATTGCTGGTTCTTACTTGTAATGTCTTATATTGTGCATTATCCATTTAATTGTTCCTACTTTGCACCAAATGTCCCTTACCACTGTATATTGACGAATTTTATTGCCCCTTTTATGCCTCTGTGTAGACAGCATACATCAAAGACATTTGCCGACAGACCTTTTGATAATGAAAAAAGTCATGCATAATGTTTCTCTGATTGGTTAATCACCCTGTCAAACATTCTGATGACGAAATATACAACTTTTTTTTACACTTCATCAGCCAAAACTTACGTGAACTTTAGTGACCTTAGGGTTGATCAAGTTGAACACCTGTCATATTATACTGTAAATTACAGCATTTCTTAAAATAGCAACACTTTTTTTTCAGTTACCGATAATCATTTTAAATATTAAGTAGTTGTATAATTTGTTTGTTTGTTTTATCGGATTAAATTTACGGTAGTAGAAATGAGTATCTGTGTGGGAAAGGGATTATGAGAAGAAATGCGGTAAGTAGATAACATGGACAAAAGCTATAGGGGAATGGATAAACTCAAGAATATGCGTAATTACAGGAGCATGGGTAACATGTTGCTGTTGGTACCAGTTTTGACTGGATGACTGAATAACCCAGCAGACAATTGTGTTTTCTTATAAGTCTGGCACAAATTTTAGATGCGCCCATGGCCCTTTGCTGCCGATTTTCCTGCGCCATTCTCATTTTTTTAGCGCCAATGGCGCAAAATCGCGTCCTCGGCAGATCTCTGTTACCAGTATCAATTTTTTGGGATATGAGAATGCAGATATTGAAGTTGGCCAGTTAACTGTATAGAGCTAGTTTAGACAGTACAAATATTTAGACTGGCCTGTCTCTATACTGATGACAAAGGCTTTGTATTTCTGCTGTCAACATAGTATTGAGAGTGTAATGTTTTGACTAATGTAAATAAGAAATTAAGGATGTGAGAAGCAAAGTCAAGACTTTCAAAATTGACAAAATCTTTACCTCTGCATTTTAATGTAGGGATGGCAACAAGTAACCGGCTAATCATGTACTCCCTCGAATATCGTCCTGAGTATAGGTTAACAGAATTGACACTTCAGTACTCTGTCATTATTTTAATTATATTGAAATTAATCAATGTAAAATTTCTTAGATATTTCTATAATATTAAAACATTTAGATTTGTTAAATAAAATTAAAACATTGATGCAGAGATGTGAAAATTGCAATTTGATAATCACGGTTAATGGAGGCAATTGATAGTGACCTCAGTTTGACAGGCATTTGTAATAACTTTTGTCATTTATATCATTTTGGGCTTAGTATATATGTAATTAAATTAGTAGTGTGATACCGAAATTGTTTCGAGGTACTTGTAAACTGCTTTTAAGGGTTAATTGCCTACTACAATAATGTCAGAGTCAAGTTATAAATTAGACCAAAGGTCAAGGCTATTTTCAAGGTACATTCCTCGTTTTTGTAGTACTTGTCAACTCTGAAAATGAAGGTGGATCGCAGGTGATGTCATTCTTATAAATTACATCTTTGTTCTGACGATGGGTTTAACAGAAATGGAATAGAGATGGATTAATGGTTATTCATTTTAAAAGTCTCAAGAAATCTTTATAGTAACAAGGTACTCAATGGGATTTAAAACCTGATACTTGAGTATGTTAACTGTAATTCTTCTTCAAAATGATTCAGTATCAGGAAAGAAAATTGTCTGTTTCTGACTGAGCTGTATCCTTTAAGATATAGCAATAAATTTCCACTCTGCTACAAAAACTACTTAATTTAAAAAAAAAATAGATTGATGCCTGGAATTCAGAATATGGAACGTATGTATTAGATTGAAAAATCATAATGATAAATAATGATGATTATATTTCAGATAAGTTGGGCCAGTGGTACTTTATTTGAGATTGTATTAGCCTCATTTGTATTACCTACCCTTGGTTGGAGATGGTTGTTGGTGTTGTCGGCTATACCTTCCCTCCTTATTGTCATCTTATTGAAGGTATGTCAGATTATATGTATAACTATCTATTCCACAAAGTTTTCTACCTCCAACGTTTCGAAGGGTTGAAAACTTTGTGGAAGAGATAGTTATAAATTAACTGTTTTTTAGCTCACCTGAACATATGCTCAGGATGAGCTATTAGGATCACTCTTCGTCCGTCATCTGTCGTCCATCATACGTCGTCCATCGTACGTCGTCGGCTGTCCGTTCACACTTTTCAAACGACATCCCCTCTGAAACCATAAGGCAGATCATAATGAAACTTCACAGGGATGTTCCTTGTGTGAAGCCTTTACAAAGTTGTTCAAAGAATTCCATTCCATGCAGAACTCTGGTTGCCATGGCAACCAAAAGAAAAAACTTTAAATATCTTCTTCTAAAAATCCAAAAGAGCTAGAGCTTAGATATTTGGAATGAAACATCTTCTAGTGAGTGTCTACCAAATTTGTTTAAATAAAAGCCCTGGGGTCAAAATTGGCCCCGCCCTAGGGGGTCATTGATTTTCCCTATGTGCATATAGTAAAAACTTAAAAAAATCTTCTTATAAAAAAACTCAAAGAGCAAGAGCTAAATTATTTAGCATGAAATGTGTTCTAATGGGTGTCTACCAAGTTTGTTCAAATAAAAGCCCTGGGGTCAAAATTGGCCCCGCCTCGGGGATCATTGATTTTTCTTATATGTGTATAGTAAAAACTTAAAAAATCTTCTTTGAAAAAACCCAAATAGCTAGAGTTTAGATATTAAGCATGAAACATCTTCTAGTGAGTGTCTACAAAGTTTGTTCAAATAAAAGCCCTGGGATCAAAATTGACCCTGCCCTGGGAGTCATTGATTTTCCTTATATGTGTTTAGCAAAGTCTTAAAAATCTTTTTTGAAATAACCCAAAGAGCTAGAGTTTAGATATTCAGCATGAAACATTTTCTAGTAAGTGTCTACAAATTTTGTTCATATAGAAGCCCTTGGGTCAAAACTGGCCCCACCCCAGGGGTGTCATTGTTTTTAACTATGTGTATAGTAAAAACTTAAAAAGTCTTATTTGAAAAAAACCCAATGAGCTAGAGCTTAGATGTTTAGCATGAAACATCTTATGGTTGTCTACCAAGTTTGTTCAAATAAAAGCCCTTGGGTTAAAATTGGCCATTGTTTTCATTAAGTAAAAACTTAACATCATGAAACCTCTTCTAATGGGTGTCTTCCAAGTGAAACCTCTTCTAATGGGTGTCTTCCAAGCTTGTTCAAATAAAAGCCCTGGGGTTTAAACTGGCCCTGCTCCGGGGGCCTATATACAGGTGAGCAACCTCAGGGCCATTATGGCCCTCTTGTTTATGGTGTAAATAATGATCAGATATGTTTCTTGTTTTACTGTATATAAGGATTTGAGTTAATAAAAAAATCTTAACTGAGGATATTTCAATTTTAAAACAGGCGGTGGTGCCCTGCCTCTTTATCTTGAGAATTGGTTTTGATTTATTATCAAACCCTTCCTTAGGTTATATAACATCAAAGCCAGTCATTCTCCTGACAATGTGCACAATCATGTGACTCAGTATATACAGCATAAATAGGGTCAATAATTGCATGGTCAAGGTCATCGGAGATGATTCAATGTAAAGATTTTGTCTGGAGTATATCTTCTACAGGCATCCTAGTACCACTTGACTTAATTGCTGCACAGTTCTAGGTTAGAGGCAAGCACTATTTCAATATGAAGCTTATGCATACTTAAAGGTATTGTTATATAACTTTGCACAGATGTTCGTCTTTGTGTGGCATCATGTTAAATTGAAAAATAAGGTCCCTATGGTCAAAGTCAAGATCAAATGTATAGGTTCAAGGTCAGATAAGAAATGAAAAGTTGATTAGTGATCATTTAGTCATTATGAATTGTGTAATTTTAATTTTAATGTCCACAGTGAAGACTGAGCATTGCCATGGTGTTTGTTGTAACAAATTGTCACTCTTTTGTAATACCCGTACTAAGATTGTATATTATTGTATTTAAGTTTTTACCAGAATCTGCACGCTACTTGGTCGCTGCTGGAAGGAAAGAAGAAGCTATGCAAATTTTAAAGTCGGCTGCCAAAATGAATAGAAACACTTTACCAGAAGGTGTTGTTGTCAACACTCAGAGTATTGTAAGTACAACATTTATTAATGATTAAATTTTGATTTAAATAGCTGACAATAAGTATTCACTGTAACCTAAAAAGTCCTGAGGGATTATCCTAGAAGATGAATAATCTAATCTGTACATTATATTGTATTGTGCAATAAATGGATAATAGCAATTTATTCATTAGAGTAAGGATAAAATAAAATTTTTATGCCACCGCAGCATCTGCGATGCGGTGGCATATAGCGATTCACCTGTGTGTGTGTGTGTGTGTTTGTTTGTTTGTTTGTTTGTTTGTGTGTGTGTGTGTTATATAGATTATATAGTGAACTTAAAAAATCTTCTTGTGAAAAACCACTAGTCCAATTTCAACCAAACTTGGCAGGATTGATCCTTGGGTGAAGGGCTTCCAAAGTTGTTTAAAGAATTTAATTCCATGCAGAAATCTGGTTGCCATGGCAACCAAAAGGAATTATAAGAATAAATTTAAAAAATCTTCTTGTAAAGACCCAAAAGGCCTAGAGCTTAGATATTTTGCATAAGGCATTGTCTCGTAGACCTCTACCAAGATTGTTCAAATTATAGCCCTGGGGTCAAAATCGGCCCCGCCCCGGGGGTCATTGATTTTCACTATATGTACATATAGTAAAAACTTAAAATACCTTTTTGTAAAGACCCATAGGCCTAGAGCTTAAGATATTTTGCATAAGGCATTGTCTGGTAGACCTCTACCAATATTGTTCAAATTATAGCCCTGGGGTCAAAATCAGCCCTGCCCCGGGGGTCATGGATTTTCACTATATGTACATATAGTAAAAATTTAAAATACCTTCTTGTAAAGACCCAAAAGGCCTAGAGCTTAGATATTTTGCATAAGGCATTGTTTGATAGACCTCTACCCAGATTGTTCAAATTATAGCCCTGGGGTCAAAATCGGCCCGGCCCCGGGGGTCATTGATTTTCCTCATATTTACATAGTAAAAACTTATAGTAAAAACTTTAAAAAAATTTCTTCTAGCAATTGACAAATGCTAGAGGTTAGATACTTTGCATGAAACATTGTGAAGTGAACCTCTAGCAAGAATGTTCAAATAATAGCCCTGGGGTCAAAATTGCCCCCACCCCGGGGTCATTGATTTTCAATATATACATATAGTAAAAATCAAAAAAATCTTATTGTCTGAAGGTACAAGGCTTAGAGCTTTAATATTTGTTAAATGATATCATCTATAGGTACTCTACCAAAGTTGTTCAAATTTTGCCTCTAGTGTCAAAATTAAAAGTGAACTTTGATATCAGCTGACCTAGATTTTGACAAAGTGTATTACATGTTGTCCTTTGATGCAGTCATGAAATTTTAGGCTGTGTGAAGTATGACCTTCACGTCCAAATTCACTAGACTCAAGTGCATTGATATATTCCTACTCTGATCTTTTATTGAGTTAACAATAGATTTAACCACTAATCTGATAATAAGAATTAGATATGCATTATGACAATCTTCAATTGTATAGCAGGGAATTCCCCAGGCGCTTTTAGCGCATCGGCACCGATGCGCTAAAATTTCAGAACAAGAAATCCCGATGCGCTTAAAATTATCATAGCGCTTTAAAAAATGACCGATATCCCTTTCTTTTGTGTCTATAAGTTAACCCCAATTAGCCCCATTTAGCCAAATAAACAAGCCAATATACATGTCCTGTGTAGATAATTACCCGAGGCGTATACACAACCCGATACACTGATTGCCTTCGGCTGTGTGACGTCACAGACACCTGTCATCGATGTCTGCAGACGACTGTTGGTGCACTTTCAGGTGTTGTCAATAACCGTGTATTGAGATGGGTGCAATTAAACGCGGCATGTGTGATATTTACATGTTTCAGGTAGGTGTAATAACTTTTATTGCTTTGATAATATAATTGGCATTAATTGACATGCGATATAACAGTTTGATATTTAGGTTCTTTGTCTTAATATAAGTGTAATGTTCAATTTCATCTTTCACTTTCTTATGATCGTTACGTCTAAGCAGTACTGTAGTATTAAGATTTCAAAAAAATAATATGTCTAACACGAATAAGGGAAGCCTAGTTCACTATCAATTTTAAGAGGTTTTTTTGTGAGCAATGTCGTTGAAACTGTCTCAGGATCATTTTGCTTTTTTTTACTCTTGAATTAAACTGCATAGATATTCAGAAATAAATTTGGTTGATGGCTACTTTAACATTGAAAATATTTACGACTGTTCATTATCAACTTGCAAATGAGTGAAAACAACAACAAAAACTTTACATCAACAATCCCACTTAGTGACAGCCAATTGGTCATTTTCTTTTTTAATTAAAAAAATATCTTGTAATCTGTTTCTGTTCATTGAATCCCCAAAATGAAAAAAATATTAACTTTGCAGGCCCTCTTTATTCGAGCCTGTTCATGGACAGCTTTGTGAAGTGCAATCTACTGTCCTACCCCTTAGCATTGGTTTGTCAGGACATACAGGAGCTGGCCTGCAGGCACTTTGGTGTAGATATGGAGCAGTGCCGCAGCCACTGGCACCAGGTACGTGCCAGTCTAGAGGGGACTGATCAGTCAGCCGACCAGACCATGACCTGGATTACTGGCAACCTTTCTACCAGTCATCCAGCTCTTTACAGAATTGCTGCTGTGGGTCTCCTCCTCCCAACCTCTACTGCAGGTAAGCATTATTAAATTCATTCATTCTTGAACATTAATGAAATTCCAATGACAGTTGCAGATGTGTAACACTTTGCTAGATGTTTTTCAACATTTCAAATATAAATTTTTTTACTTAGTTAAGTTTAAACAGGCTGGAAGTTTTAAATTTTCAAATATTCACATCAAACAAACAATATAAATATAAGACATGAGGTTAACATAAATGATTACTTTCATTTATTAATTTCAGATTTTAAGCGAGGATTCAGCTGCCTGAAGAGAGTTAAGACTGAAAACAGGAATTGTCTCTCTGTTAAAGTTCTAAACTATCTTCTTGCCGTCTCCCTGTAAGGACCCCCATTAGAATCTTTCAACTTTGAGAAGGCAGTCAAGGCATGGAAGGACAACAAACCTAGAAGACAGGCCCTCTTTTAATGATGTTAATGAAGAAAAAACAACTGAAATATACTCATTTAAATAGGACACACACATACATATAAATGTTGATCACATTTTGTGAACTTGTGTTTATATATAATTGTTTATTTATTTGAATTGTTGGAAATGTAAAAAGTAAATAATAAAAATTAAGAAAATGTTTATCAAGTGAAAAGCTTTCATTATTTTTTAAAACAGCCCACAGCAGTATCTTGACACCTTATATGGCAAAAATTTTCGACACGCGGTATGGGGGTCAAGACCCCCTCCCGCACCCACCCCCGTCTTATTAAAAAATTGTAGCGCTTAAAAAAAATCCTGGGGAATTCCCTGGTATAGAAACAAAAAAATCTGTTCCTACACTACTATTTAGTGTTGTATTATTGCGGTGGCATAGCATTTTTCTCAAATGCAATCTTGTTCTTCTTGCACATGTATCCCTTGAGACCTGTTAAAAACCAGGTATCTGATGCCGACAAAGATGACTTGAGAAGAAAAATACATCTGACATTTTCATTTAATTTTGATGTTTCAGTCAGAGAGGGGTAACCCGAAAGATTTGTTCTCACCTACATATCTCCGTACAACATTAATGGTCTGGATGTTGTGGTTTGGTACAGCATTGTCATACTATGGAATGGTTTTAGCAAGTGCTGAAATATTGCAGCTTAGAAATGCGGAGAAGTCAGGTATGTACCTGATTTTAACTTGATATTAATTTGCCTTTTATTTAATGACTGGCAGCAAATTGTAAAGATTATCGTTAGTTATAGATTAAAGTAGTGATGGGTGGAATGGTAAAATGTTTGACTTTGAGGATATGAGTTTGTACATGTTGTATATCTTGAGCTAGAAATATTTCAATATCTTAAGTATCTGATCTATAACATGGCATACAGAGTAATAAATTGAATGTTTTTGATAACATCTGTGAGTTACAAATATCATTCAACCAAGGAATTGTAGATTCCTGTGTTACAACTATGTTTCCCTCATATGATGCAGGTGCTTGTTAGTTAGCTTGGAAATGGACTTGAGCTCATAACCTCAAAGATTTTGTTAAAATTGAGCATGAATAGATCATGTTTAAGCAAACAAAAAAAAAAACAACAAAAATAAAAACAAAAATGTGTACCATTGACCCGATAAGGAATTCACTGAAACTTGCTTGGTGACTGCCAGTAAGTTTATGACCAAATTTCTGCTTAATTTATTCTAAATTCAGAATAGAAGGAAAGAACTTTATCGTCGTATTGATTGACATTTGTGTGCTTTTTATGAAATCTATTGTAGTTAACTTGTATATTAAAAGGTGAGAAGTGCAAGTGTAATTTACTGAAGAAGGGTGATTATAACAGTATGATTGTGTCTACATTGGGAGAATTCATAGGTAAGTTTATAATGATTTTTTCAGTGACAGTAACAGCTCTATTCAGTTGTCTAGCAATTCTAGTATATGTACACTTATTAAGCCTTTGTTGTCTTAAAGGGACTTTACTGATGTTTTATGATGGGACTGGAAATATTTTACAAGACATGTGTACCTTTTAATGAATGTTTGGACCAATACTTTGTGTACATATTTTCAAATCATTGTCACCCCATTTTTCAAGATCAATCATTTTTGTTGTGCAAAATGACGCAAATTGAAAAGCTTTACAACACTTTTCACTCAATTCGAGCTAAAAATCACACATAAAAAATAATAGTCAATTTAATTCAAAGTAAATTTTTTTATTTTTCTTTATAGCTCACCTGTCACAAAGTGACAGGGTGAGCTTTTGTGATCGTTTTTCTTCCGGCGTCGTCCGTAAACTTTTACTTTAAATGACATCTCCTCATAAACCGCTGAGCCAATTTCATCCAAACTTCACAGGAATGTTCCTTTGGTGGTCACCTTTAAAAATTGTTCAAAGAATTTAATTCCATGCAGAACTCTGGTTGCCATGGCAACCGATAGAAAAGACTTAAAATATCTTCTTTTAAAAAACCCTAAGAGCTAGAGCCTAGATATTTGGCATGAAACATCTTCTAGTGAGTGTCTATCAAGTTTGTTCAAATAAAAGCCCTGGGGTCAAAATTGGCCCTGCCCCGGGGGTCATTGAATTTCCCTAGATGCATATAGTAAAAACTTAAAAAATCATCTTTTAAAGAACCCAAAGAGCTAGAGCTAAGATATTTAGCATGAAACATCTTCTAATGGGTGTCTACCAAGTTTGTTCAAATAAAAGCCCTGGGGTCAAAATTGGCCCCGCCCCAGGGGGTCATTGATTTTCCCTATATGCATATAATAAAAACTTATAAAATCTTCTTTTCAATAACCCAAAGAGCTAGAGCTAAGATATTTAGCATGAAACATCTTCTAATGAGTGTTTATCAAGTTTGTTCAAATAAAAGCCCTGGGGTCAAAATTGGCCCGCCCCAAGGGGTCATTGATTTTCCTTATATGCATATAGTAAAAACTTATAAAATCTTCTTTTAAAGAGCTAGAGCTAAGATATTTAGCATGAAACATGTTCTAATGGGTGTCTATTAAATTTGTTCAAATAAGAGCCCTGGGGTCAAAATTGGCCCTGTCCCGGGGGTCATTGATTTTCCTTATATGTGTTAAGCAAATACTTTAAAAAAATCTTCTTTTAAAAAACCCAAAGAGGTAGAGCTTAGATATTTGGCATGAAACATCTTCTAGTGAGTGTCAATCAAAGTTTGTTCCAATAAAAGCCCTGGGGTCAAAATTGGCCCTGCCCCGGGGGATCATTGATTTTATTTATGTGTAAAGCAAAAACTTAAAAAATCTGCTTTGAAAAAACCCAAATAGCTAGAGTTAAGATATTAAGCATGAAACATCTTCCAGTTAGTGTCTTCAAAGTTTGTTCAAATAAAAGCCCTAGGGTCAAAATTGGCCCTGCCCCGGGGTACATTGATTTTCCTTATATGTGTATAACAAAAACTTAAAAATCTTCTTTGAAAAAACCCAAATAGCTAGAGTTTAGATATAAAGCATGAAACATCTTCTAGTGAGTGTCTTTAAAGTTTGTTCAAATAAAAGCCCTGGGGTCAAAACTGGCCCCGCCCTAGGGGTGTCATTGCTTTTAACTATATGAGTATAGTTAAAACTTAAACATTCTTTTTTTTAAAAACTCAATGAGCTAGACCTTAGATGTTTAGCATAAAACATCTTCTAATGGGTGTCTACCAAGTTTGTTCAAATAAAAGCCCTGGGGTTTAAACTGGCCCTGCTCTGGGGGCCTATATACAGGTGAGCGACTTCAGGGCCATCATGGCCCTCTTGTTATCATTTTAGTTGAAGTGTTTCATTTGATCTATATAACCATAAATCACCAGTTACATTCTAAATAAGACAATGAACAGTTAACGAATTAAACTTGAAAAAGTTTTTAATCTTTAGAATGATTAAGTGCAGAATGTTAATGAATAGAAAAACATAGATATAAGGGATATATATAGTGATTTCAAAAAGTTCATTATGTTGGAAATTTTTCTGAAGCATTACTGTTTTACATTATTTTTCATCTGTTATTCTTTTGTTTTATTTAAGCTCTTCCACTGAACATATTTCTGATAGACTTGGTTGGCCGTCGATGGACTGGTGCTGTGAATTTATTTGGTTGTGGTCTATTTTTTATACTTCTTCAATTACCAGTGTCTCAGACTGTATTAACTGTATTAATATTCATGGTTCGTGGATTCTCTGCAGGAATGTTCAACTTTGTTTACATCTATACTTCAGAGGTATTTTTACTATGCCATTGTCTTTTGTCTTGTCTTTTGTCGCACTTTGTTCATTAGTATAAAATGAAAATAGAAACAAATATATACTTTTTGAAGATTTAAAACAACTTTTTGTATTAGAAATGTAGTTTGAGCCACACATGTTTGCTCTATGTAAAGAATTTTGAATTGCACAAATTGGTTACTGATTACTTATCTTGATTATCTAATATAGCATCTAAAACAGGATTTATTAATTGTCCATAACAAGAGTTATGTTTATATTTTGTTTCAAAAAGAGAAAAAAAAACACACTAAAAATTCAACATGCTATTGTGTATCTACCAATACAAACTGTCACTGCATTTCATTCATCACAATATTTGTTCAGAATTCAAGTTAAGCAAAATGATAAGGAACTAGTAATCCTTTACATAAAGTACATATATAATGTAAATACAGATGTTGTACCATTTACTGTTGTTTTATTTTTCAGGTATATCCTACTACTATAAGAACATTAGGTATAGGTACAGCATCATCATGGGCTCGTGTTGGTGCTATGATCACTCCATTTCTTGCTCAGGTAAATATCATTTATAAATGCTATGACGGAAACACTTTTACTTAAATTTTAGTATATCTTTGATTTATAAAGAATTTATTTTAGTTTGATTGTGTTAGAAGCTATAGACACCCTTTTGAATCTCTTCCTGGAACCAACCAGTACTGTGCAATGAGTGTAAAGTTTCTTGCTCAAGTAAACAAGGACTTGCCCCTGAGGGGGTTTGAACCCATGCAGCTAGGGATCATTAGATTACCCAAATATCAAAAGAATATACAAGAAGAATGATACACAAGCAAATTTTAAAATATTTCTTCAGAAAATAGAAAATGTTTTATACTAGTAATATGTTTTGTATTAAAGTGGTGTAATGGGGCCTCTATTGCCATTTTGTTATGGTCATTTACCTCAAATCATTTATCTGCTGAGGAAGTAGGTTGGGATCTAACCTGGAGATTTTGTAGGTTGGAATCCTTCCCAGAGATTTTGGATTCTTTCATTTGAGAAAGCTATCCAGCTTCACTCTGCTTGCTTCAGGAAGATTGATGGTTTAACTATAATGTCTGCACATGTCTGAAATAATGCATGAAGTGGCTCCTAATGATTTCCTCCACCAATAAAGCTGGAAAGTCACCATGTGACCTTTTACAGAGTGGAGTGTTTATGTGAAATAAAACTCAACTAAAACAAAGGCCTGATGCTGTTAAATTCAGATATCTTGCCAAGATTGTCTTAGTCACATACTCTACATAAAGCTACAGCTGTATTAATAGGTGAACTTAGGTAATATGACATGTAGATGGAGATTTTTATATTAATGGCCAGGAGTATTTGTTGTCATATTGACATTCATTTTTTCATGTCTGTGTCTTTCGTGGCTTGTGCATTATAGAAGTTCTGTGAAACAGACATTATTGAAAATACCTGTACATTTACCTGCAAATATTTTATATTGCAGGTTTTATTAGATGCCTCCTTAACAGCAGCAGTTTGGGTTTATGGCAGTATAGGAGTTATATGTGCTATTTGTGCAATTTGTTTACCTATAGAAACCAAGGGGAGAGAACTACCTGTAAGTGTATGGAAATACCATTTTGGGTATAGATATGTTAAAGCCGCAAAAATCCCTGCCCTGGTAGGGAGAATTTTGTAGGCATGTTTATCAGATAAATTTTGCAAAGGACGCTGTTCCTGTGCTATATTTAGCTGATGTAAACAAACACTATAGCAGACGATTACTGATCAGCAGCTCCCTTCCTAGAGCAATATTTCAAGTTCCTACTGGAAAGTTAACACTGCCACATGTATTTGTTTACAACCTGCAGTTCATGACCCCATTTACTCTGCCCCTGGATTTTCAAATTTTTGACAGTTAACCGATTTTTTTTTTCACAAAGTACATTTAAGTGAATCTTTTGTGATATTTTCTCTGCCATTTCATTTCAAATGTTGCAAAGAAGGTATACTAAAAGTTTTTAGGCAAAATACTTCTTGGTTATTTTAATATTTCAAAAAAGGGCTGTTAGATGTGAAGCATGTCAAAAATACTGTAAAAATCTGCCCCAGCGCCATCTAGTGGCTTAAATAGTCAAGTTGCAGGTTTAAGATGCATGACAATAACTTCCATCTATTTTGGAAGGCAATATCTTGTTGATTTTTCCTCTGGCATATGACCACAAATATCAGTTACCATATGTGTAATAATATTGTTCATTGTCATTTTAGTAAAGTAATTAATGAAAAGAAATCTCAAAATATGTCTAAGATATCAATTTTTAAAATTAAAAAAAAAAAAGAAAAAAAGATTTTTTGGGGTTTGTATAAAAAGAATTTTAAGAAAAATCTCCATTTGTAATTAAATGCACAAAAATCTTTTTCTAGCCAGATTATAAACATTCAGCTCCCCAAGTAGTATGGACGTATAGTGTTGAATATTTACTACAAGTGGTGGAGCCAATATATAGATTTAAGAAGCATCTAAGACAGACTAAATTCGAAGAAGACTCGGGTGTTAATGTTGGTGTCATTGTCACACTTTGGTAAAGTTTTTGCTTGCATGTTGGTATCACCAAAACTACTGTAGAGTATTGGTTGAAACTTCACAAACTTATTTGATAACATATATTTACTTGTTTTGAATTTTGTTCCGGAAAAGTGTAATTTTCTTCAAATAAAATACAAATAAAATAAAAGTGCACTTATATGTTGAAAATTATTTTGATTATTTTTTTGTAGCAAAGCATTTCAATAGAGGATGACTGATTACCAGCAAAACTAGCAGGAATTAGGAGAAAATCAAAAAACGGCAGCAAGTCTTTGGAATGTCTTTCATACATCACTTTACAACAAGATTAATGAAGAATGACCCCTTAGTTACATGCAGGCAACAGATCCAGGTTTGAAATATAGATTTAAATGATGAGATTTTTAGTTAGATAAGAATTATATTATTTATTGTAGATAATATGTAATATTAATATAGTATTTTTTTATGTAGATCTTGTTAACCCTTGTCCTGCTAAATGTATGAAAGAAACCTTTCAACTGTTCTTATAAGGCAGATTTAACAAATTTTGATGTAATAGAAATCATACCACAATAAAACCTAACCACATTGCCATGTTTCTTGCTTATTATTTTGTATTTTAATATTGGGATGTGGCTAAATGTATGAAACAAACCTTTCAACTGTTCTTATAAAGCAGATTTAACAAATATTGATTTCATAGAAATCTGACCACATTAAAACCTGACCATATTTTCATGTTATTTGGTTATTTTTTAGTATTTGAATATTGAAATAATCTATTTATTTAATAATTGGCTGTTTCTAAATGCAAAGTAGGACAAGTCTGTTCTCTAAATTCAATGATATACATGTAAATATATATATGATTTTTACTTATCTCAGTTAGGTGTTCAGGAATCAAGTATACACATAAAACCTCCAACTGAAATAATTATACCACCCTTTGAAGAAGAGGAGGTATTTTGTTTTGCTTATGTCGGTCTGTCCGTCAGTAGACTGATTATCTTGAAAACTATTTATCACAAAGTTATCATATTTCACATATTGATTAGTCATATGTAGTAGATGACCCCTGTTGATTTTTGAGTCACTAGTTCAAAGTTCAAGGTCACAGTGGCCTTAAATGTCAGGATGATTTCCACTCATTATCTTGAAAACTACTTATCTCATCATTTTTCTTTTTCCATAACTGAATGCTTCAATGTATCCATTTATGGCATGTTTCTATAACAAAATTACCAATATTATGAGTCATGGGCTAGAAAGGGGGGGGGCATACATGTTGTTTGACATTTCTTGTTTGTACATTGTGGTGCTGGTTTGAAATTCTCTTGGTATGATAATACGTTATAATTGTTTGTAAAAATTCTAATTTTATTGTTCAGTACATTTAAATTGATCATATATTATAATTATATATTGTTATATATTTTTTCAGCTATGCTATATTGTTTGATACTAAGTCTTATATATAGATATATATTTATATAAATTGACATATTACAAGTATAGATTTATGTAGAATTGATATCTGTATATACATATTAGATTTACTGTTGGGAAAGGGTATTATGAGGGGTTGTAAAAAGTTTTTTGTGTCATAATATTGCTTCATAAAATGAGTTTTTGTTTTCTGTTTGAATTTTCAAATCATACTTTGTTAATTGTTGGTATTTTACACTAGAATGATGACTCCTCTATTGTAGGGCATTATCTTTGACTATTTTACATTATTTTTGTCATACATACTCATCCCTTTTTGATAATTTAATTGATTTAATAATATTACTGTAAGTTTTTAATACAGAGGGACTTTTAATACAGTTCATATTTTGTAACTTCAAAGACAAAAAATAACAGTTTTAGTTTATCTGTTGCATTTTAACGCCTTACATTTTACCAGGATGGTTGAAAGAAATATTTTTAAGAATCCAATCTATTACATTAAACACACATAATTTGACAGTGTTAAGAATTGAGTGCAATAAATCTAAAAAAAAGGGGGAAACACTCCATATTTGTGTGCAAATTATTCTCTGTTGAAGTAAAAGTCAGTTAGAACAGAAATTATGGTGAAGCTATAAAGAAGATGATGTTAGTTGGAATCAATTTGGGCCTGTAGTTTTCTTTTCCTTTGATCCTTTGTCGGTGTCTCCAAAAAAATTGGAAACTACTAGATGTATTGTCTCATATTTTAAACACACTAAATTTGGTTTAAGTGACAGTGAAACATCTTTTTTTTGCCTTTTCTTGAAATATTTATTTGAATTAAGTCTGTTTGAAAAAAGTTTAAAGGATCTGATGAGCCCCCAGTCTCATCCTAGCCTTTTTTACCTCATCAACATTGGGCACCTATATAATATTTTCATGTTGAGATAGATTAAAGTTAAATAATCCAAATTTTTCGTGGCAATGTTGTAGTAAAAAGAAGATATTTACACATTGAAGACTAGATTTTTGTCTGTCTTGGTAGTTGAGTTATAACATGAAAAGCTGTTGTGTTTTCATTGTTTCATCTGCTTAAATACACCACTCTTCTGATGTACAATGTACCAGAACATTTTTTTACCTATAGTTAAATCACATTGACAATTTTGATCTCTCCTGTTCAAGGGGCTTGACAAAAAATCTTCCTTCTCTAAATTGAACTTCGCCAGCAGGTCCAGATTCTGAAATTTCGTTCAACTGACGTTGGGATTTGAGTATGATCCCCAAGTGACCAGATTTTTTCTTTGATCTTCTGGGGAGCACTGCCTAAAGGGATAAAAACACTAGGATTGGTTATGTCTGGATGTTGGATGACACCTGGAGGGATTACAATTTGAGACATAGGGGATGGGGCAGAACTTGGGGAGGTGGCTGGGGGAGAAAACTGAGAGGTGGCTGGTTGTCTCAGATTGGAAAATGAATTGTCGAATTGACTAATACCTAGGGATGGTGGTGGTGGAAAATGAACAGCAACAGGTTCCTGATTTTGCCTCTGAGGCCGGTTTTCCACTTCACTCGCATGGTTCCTTGCTCTTTTTCTGCCTCCATTTGCCATATCGGCACCTCTTTTCCATTTACCTCGCGGCATGATGTTTAAAACTTTTGAAGAAGCGGAAAGACAAATAATTTTTTTTCTTTTTTCTTTTTAGCTCACCTGTCACAAAGTGACAGGGTGAGCTTTTGTGATCGCTTTTCATCTGGCGTCCGTCGTCTGTCCGTCGTCCGTCCGTCGTCCGTCCGTCCGTCGTCCATAAACTTTTACTTTAAATGACATCTCCTCATAAACCACTAAGCCAATTTCATCCAAACTTCACAGGAATGTTCCTTTGGTGGTCACCTTTGAAAATTGTTCAAAGAATTTAATTCCATGCAGAACTCTGGTTGCCATGGCAACCAAAAGAAAAAACTTAAAATATCTTCTTCTAAAAAACCCAAAGAGCTAGAGCCTGAAATAATGCACGGAAGGGCACCTGAGGTCTTCCTCCACCAGTAAAGCTGGAACGTCGCGATATGACCTATACTGTGTCGATGTGACGTAAAACCCAAAACAAACAAACAAAACTGTATTATGAAAGGAAATATCACAATTTATTTATGCATCAATGATATGGGCCAAACTCTAATACATACACATTTAAGCATGAAATGGGTGTTCTAATGGGTGTCTACCAAGTTTGTTCAAATAAAAGCCCTGGGGTCAATATTGGCCCCGCCCCGGAGGTCATTGATTTTCCTTATATAGGTATAGCAAAAACTTAAAAAATCTTCTTTGAAAAAACCAAAATAGCTAGAGTTTAGATATTAAGCATGAAACAACTTCTAGTGAGTGTCTACAAAGTTTGTTCAAATCAAAGCCCTAGGGTCAAAATTGGCCCCGCCCCGGGGGTCATTGATTTTCCTTATATGTGTATAGCAAAAACTTATAAATCTTCTTTGAAAAAACCCAAATAGCTACTGTTTGATATAAAGCATGAAACATCTTCTACTAAGTGTCTACAAAGTTTGTTCAAATAAAAGCCCTTGGGTTAAAACTGGCCCCGCCCCAGGGTTGTCATTGTTTTTAACTATATGTGTATAGTAAAAACTTAAAAAATCTTCTTTTAAAAAACCCAATGAGTTAGAGCTTAGATGTTAAGCATGAAACATCTTCTTAAAGGTGTCTACCAAGTTTGTTCAAATAAAAGCCCTTGGGTTAAAATTAGCCCTGCAAGGGGGGTGGGGGAGGTCATTGTTTTTCATTATATATGTATAGTAAAAACTTAACATCATGAAACATCTTCTAATGGGTGTCTTCCAAGTTTGTTCAAATAAAAGCCCTTGGGTTTAAACTCCGGGGGCCTATATACGGGTGAGCAACCTCAGGGCCATCATGGCCCTCTTGTTTAAATTTTTTTTTTGACCACGTTTTCAAATTTGGACAATGATGTGTGGATTTTACAAGGGTAGATTACGACATACCTTGGTTCTCTTTGAGAACTGAGATGGAGGACAGAGTTATGTCTGAAACCATTCAGTAATAGCTAGCTTGCAAGACGAGCTTTAAGGTAACACTAGTACCTGCATAAGCGATGGTTTTTAAAAAAATTGCCTGAAGTACATCAATTTTCTTTTTTGAACTTCCAATATAGTTACCTGGCTGGCAGCCTGTGCCAGAGACATCTTCTCTCAACCACTTGATCTTTATTATAGTTCCTTGTGTTTTCATACTCATTAGAGATTTTGTAGCTTTTGTTGTGTCTTTTTGTTTATCTGTCTCAAGTATATATTCCTTTATAGTGTTAGATAAATATGGTAGGTTATTTTCTTGAATATGAACAGGCAGTTGAAATGTTCTACTTGAAATGGGATTGTTTTAGACTTTCTGTCTAGCTGTTGAGAGTTGATTTGAAGGAAATGTTTTTTCATGGTCTAATGCCACAAGCTGCTGTTGCACTTGAATTTTAATGAAGTGTTCACATGGTCTTATAAGATATAAAAGACATTTCATTTCCTCTTGTGTTTAGAAATTAAATCTGGCTTGTGCTTTAACATAAATAATCTTAGGACCAGTTCTTCTTTTGTCCCAATTATTTTTATCCCATTATGAAAGGATACTTCTTATTGTTGAAACACTTAATTAGATATACCTAAAAATGAATTTGGCACTGTTTCCAGATCTCCAGAATAAAATATTTCTTCATTAAAAGCATCCTCTTTGAGTCAAGCAGAGGCGCTGTATCAATTCTACGTTTGTACCCTCATGGTTAACAACATTCTTCTTACACATATTGATTAATTCCTGTTTTTTTAGCTTGAAGAAGGAATTGCCCTTCCACTTCACACAGTCTTTGTCTTTTTCTATTAATCTTTTTCTTCTTCTTCTTTCTGCTTAAGGTATTTTTCCACATCATTTGGGGATTTCCATGGTAGTATTGAAATTTGCTCTTTTATGTATGGGGGCGGATTGTCAAAAATCAAGAAGGCTATATATAAAACCCTTGATGGAAGGAAAAAGTCTGTTTCATTCCTCACCTCATTGTTTTCACTAATTTTGAAAATTTGTTTTGTAGTCTTGTTATTACAGTAATGGAACTCTCCTGTTCTTTTGAACTTTACATAATCTGGAATAGGCTGCAGATGACCTTTTTTCATGACCTTTTTCATTTTCGCATACCCTGAAAGTATACTTATTTGACTTTGCATTTGTTCCTAGTTCATACAGTCTATATGCTCCCCCGAAATTTTTCGGGGAGCATAAAAAGTCGAGCTAACAAAACTGCACTTTTAACAATCAATACTTGTCTGACCAAATAATTTACCCAGCCTTCGAGAAAATCCTTATATTCATCATCTAGGTTAGTGGCCGTCTCTTCTGATAGGCGACCATCTAATGTTTCATAAGTTTGTCTCTCATGAAGTAGCGATATTGCCATTTTTTTGTACATATCAATTATTGCCTTTATTTTTTGGCCTCAATAGATCATCTCTCGCAACATCTGATAGTTCCTTGACACACAGAAATCCCTTATATGCACAGAACCGACACATCTTCACTATCATATTATTTAGAGCTGTTTAATACAATAATGTCCCTTCCTGTTCGTTTTGTTCTATTGAAAGTTCCACCAGATGTAATTTGAACTTGTTTTTTCGTTCTGTAGAATCAAATGAGTCATTGGAGTGCTGGGGAATGTTTTGCTCTGATTCCAGTCATGGTCTAGATACTCCCTCTTTTTCCATGTTCTACCAGGTTTTTGGACAGGGGCAACATTCCAGTCCTTTGTGGAGCATTCAAAGCAATCTTTGCATTCATATTTTTGTTTTATTTGAAGTCATCTTTTCTTTTCTCAAGCTGTTCATCTTGGAAGACAAGTATATCTCTTTGTATCATACATGTAACAGCATGCTCAACCAGGCCCCAAGTATGAAATTGTTGAAATAAACACACAAGTATAAGCAAAAGGATACATAGAGGATAACAAGTTAAAATTAGCAAAAGTAACTCTTATAAAGTAGATGCCAATGTCAGTGACAAGTATTGGGCTATAGGATGAAACAATCACTATAAAGTTTCGATTTATTTTTTTTCACCCTCAATTGGTGAACATGGGGGGGGGGGGGGGGGGTTACTAGGAGACGATTCCCCCAATAATTTTTTTTCTTTTTCTGCTTTTATCTGGGCCTCTTCTTTTGAGAAAATCAGGCTAGCTTTTGCCCAATTAACTCTGTGCAGTCTTGCCACTGCTGTGATACCTGTGGCTTTGAAATACTCCACACAGCCTGTAAAGGCGGCGGAGTGTTCATCGCCAAGGTTCGCACATTTTATATTATGTGAGAGGCATGACCTCGTAATCTATAGGCTTGCCTAAGATCCTCGAATGGTCCAAATGGTGACAAGATGGCCCTTTACGGGCAATCTTGTTCAACATAGCTGCGGACCAGCCGCCAATTTGTATAAACTGTGATTAAAAATTTAAATATAATTGATCTAAAATTCTATTTTATGCTGTTCTTATTAGGATAGACTCACGTAAACAGGTGAACAAACCAAACACACCCTGCGATCAAAGTGATCGATAATAATAATAACACTTTAAATAATTTTGTGATGTGGTACCCAGACAAATAAAGTAATATATATAAAATATTAAAATTTCACTTAAATTAATGGTTCGAAAGTTTAGGAGCATGGAAAGGGTGCACGCTAATAATAGTAGTGGGTTGGGTATACTTCTAGAAGACGTTGGGGTTTGCGTAGATTGTTGATTAGCTTCTAGAAGTTCTAGGAGGTTGTATGCGGTTGTCCCTGATAGTGATGCCTATATTCTATAATTATATGCCTCTGGAGTTGAAGTAACTACGGTTAAACACCTTATTATTATACGTTTAATTGTTTGATAACAAAAACTTTTGTTTATTTCCGGAAACGGAAGTCCTACGTCCTAGGGCCTATAAATATATTAATGTTTATGAATGTATACATTAATCTTACTCATGTTACTGATTTGAATCAAATTTGCTTGTTCTTGTTGATCAGTGATTATGGTTGTAGGCACCAATAAATTGTTGATCAATACTTATAAATAGTATTGTAATTTTGGGAAATAATTAATTTAGAAATGGTTAAAAATTAGTACTGGACCTAACCAGTATTAATCCTTGTGACTTGTGTATGCTCATTGCAAAACTCAATTTTATTTTTGGAAACTGAAATCTTACGGCCACACCAGTGTTTCGGGATGGACTAAAAACTGAAAAAAAATATCAGAATTAATTTTATACTGAAACTCATAATTTTCCATAAGAAAGAAAAAATAGTATAGATCTATAAGTGATTTTTATTATATTTTATTATAGATGTTATTATAGAACAATAATAAATATCTTTTATTTTCCTGAAAGCAATGAAGCCAAAATCAAATTCATCCTACTATGGTTGATTAAATTCATTAAAAATAATTAAGCAGAATGTGAATGAATAGTTGACAAGGCTAATGTGTCACAGTTTAATGTGACCATGTTTTCAATGTTAATGTATCAGTTAAAGATACATACCAGAAAATCTAAACTTTTCTAGTGGCACTTTAACGTTCATCAAAGATTGAAACTCCACTACTGGTCCTGTTTCGCTGATGTCATATAATATTCCTACGCAGACCGTTAACCAATTTATTGGATAGGTTACGAAGCAAAATAACTGACACACCTATTTTAAGCCACAGTGTTTTTGGAGCTAATATCTTCTTAAGGTGCTTCTGATTGCCTTCATCTGCAGAGCGGAATTCATACAACTGACCAGGAAAGTCAATTATTCGATTTCTGTTATATACATCCACTTGCTCATTTCTTGCAAATAATTTTATAGAGTCAGTGTCACAAGGCAATGGTTGAGTTAACCCTTTCATAAAAACTTCTGTTTCTATACTGACGATTCCATTCGCAATCTCCTGAATGGCTTTTAT